TAGATTGTCGCTTGAGCCTTTTTCGATCCTACAAACTTTCAATTTCAATCACTCTTCCAGCCGAAAGTACTAGATAATTCAAGTCTACTCTTTTATAAAGGATTTCTCTTTCGTAAGGTATACAATGTGTTACCAAAACTTCCGGTTTCTTTGAATATTTCTGAGCTTGAAAAAAACAGCCGAACTTATACGGCAACATAATGCACGTTTCCTCAGTTTTTTATTTCAATCGTAAATCTGAAGCTTCCCTTATATTCCAGTTTTCATTCAAAGCGAAAATTGATTGCGTCTTGAGAGGTTAGGCTAGTTTACGCTTTGACTTTAAAAAGCTTCCTTTTTCTCCAACTTACTCGTTCGAAAAAACTGCAATTCCGCCGTGATACCAACCTTGAAAAAAACGATCGGATGCGATTCATGTTCAACAATGCTTTGAGGACGGTGTGATTGGAAATGAACCAAACCGGAGCGGTATACTACTATACTGAGAATTATACTTATCATCAGGATAAGGCAAACTCATATGGTATCATTTTTAATTATCTATATTTTTGGGGGCTTTTGAAGCAGAATATGCGACTGAATTATTTTTACCGTAAACAATTAGAAAGATTCATGTTTTGATTGAACGATGAAATGAATGTTCAGCAACCAATCCCAAATCCGTTCTTGTGGCATAACCCTGCAGTACTGCATTGTGAAATAATACGCATAAATTAAAGCAAAGATTTTGACTTTACGGACCAAAGCAGTAAAACTGATGATGAAGCCTGATTGTATTGCTTCTGAGCTGATTCCAATAATAAGAATGAGCAGAAAAATTCTTACAAAGCGATTATAGATTGTACTGGCAGGTTGACGACCATGGCACGCGCAGTCACATCGAAATTAACGATTTGCCAGGACCGTTGTTCAGCAACCATTGGCATTGAGTCAAAATATCTTACTCTTTGAAATTGACGATGGGAAAAATTCCATCAGTTTCTGAAAATTCCGAAAAAAGGCTTGTAAACTACTTTGTTGACAATTGTAGTAACCTTATTAAAGAGAGGAGGTTTATGCACAGCCCGAAGCAATTGTATAATCACCACCATCTCTTTTTTATCCCAACACTCTGTATGCAAGCAATAATCCAGGATCTTCTAAGCAAGCCCTTGTTTTCTATATATTGTGGCTAACTCTCAGACTGAAAACATTCTTTATCGAAATTTATGAATCTGAGTTCTTTCTGTAAATCTCATTCCAAATAATTCCATCGTCCATAAAATTTGAACAACAAATACATTTAAATAAGAACTAAATCTAATCAGCTTTGGTGGCAGTTTTCAATCAAAAGTGCGGAAATTGAATACAGTGTAAGGCAGCACAATCGGAAAAACGCGCTTTCACCTAATAATATGCGAAAGTTTAACAATCAGATACGATAACAATAGCACCAGCTTCGAAACTCAAAGGAACCATCCATTATTCGGGAAGTGTCGCCTATGCACATCAATAGCGATCAATGGAAAAAAATCTATGCTCAACAAGGAGCAGCGTATAAGCAGGTAGAAAGAGGTTTATGCTGTTAGCGTCTCAAATTCTGAACGTTAATTTTTGACATTATGACTCGATCACGCTTCTATTCGAGCTCTCATGTTTGCCGCCCCGCGTTGGGACTTAGCGATCGTCGGCGCTGATTTTCTATGTCTCGGTCTTTCAAGCTGTCCGATATCCTCTTCTTGAGTTCGGTCGGGAAACGGTCGTAGCACCTCTTGCACGTCGGCTTCATGTCAAATTCGTAGAATTTGGTCCTAATATTTACATCAAATTAGTACTGATATGGAATTGCGGCAAAATTTGCAACCAACACATCTGTTACAAAATACAGAAGACGAGATAGCAGTAAAAGAGTACCTATGATCCATTTTTTTGTCACAAAGCGAGCAGGCAAAGCATTTGATGCACCAACTCTTTTGAAGAGCCTGGAAAACTTCGCCACCGCAAGCTTCGCCGCACTTGTAGCATACATTGCCATATAGCTGAAAAATCATTTTTCCAATTGACACCACAAGTGATCTCCTAAACTTTTCAAACTCAAACTACCCTGGATCTAATAACACTTTCTACAAGTCTTA